TTGGATTCCTATGAATAAGTATTAATGATATGGTAGTTAAATACTGTAAAGTTCTAGTTTTTACAAGTCTTCTGCTGCCTGGGAACTACACTTCTTCATGGCACAGCTGACAACTTAAAGGTTGCATATTTAGAAATCTAAATAAGTGAAAGGATTTGTATCAGTTTCATGGGTGAATAGCCTTGATTCTAATATGAAAATCAAAGACCTGAGCTTAGGAATTTTATGAGGGTTTTCATAGTCTCCTGCTATATCTTCAGAGGAAATCTCAACAATGGAAGTCCAGGCTGGGTTACGCTCCAGAGGAACCAGCCACAGTTACACCTGAAATGGGGAGAATTTCACAAACACACTATTCAAACAATGCGAGGTGTTTTCATTGATTCCTTGAGGCGGCAGTTCCCATTGCTGCTGACTGCAACTCCAAAGTGAACATGCCAAATCTGCTGAATGGGAGTTGCATAGAATTTAATGCACAAAAAATGGCCACTTGGCTCTAGATGAGATTATGTTCTACAAATCCTTCTTCTTGTCCTTTTTCATCTAGTCCTATCAATCCCTATATCCCTTTCTCTTTCTCATGCTTATCCAGCCTCCCCTTAAATTAATCTATGCTTTGGCTCAACTGTTTATGATAGCATGTTCTATACTCTTACCAACTCTGGTTACATATCTTCCAATTTACTTCCTTATTGGATTTATTAGTGACAATCTCATATATATAAGACCATTAGGTTTGGTCTCCCACACAAATTAAAACAGCTTTGCTATCTTGATCCTAGCTCATTTTAAGATTTTGGCCCATTGTTCTGGCTTCCCCACTGAAGAAAATGCTTTCTCTCCATATATCGTAACAAATCCTTTTGACATTTGAAACATCAGGATCAGCAATCTGTTCAAAATTTGAAAGACACCACTCAAATTTCTCTTTTCCAGAGAAAACAGCCTCGGCCTATTTTGTCTTTCTAGATATATAAAACCTCTCAGTTTTTGCAAAATTGAGTACTGAAATGCATACAGTACTCTGGTGCCTAGGTTCAGTATCTCTAATCTGGGCTGCAGAGGAAATTGGAGTGGGAGGGGAAAGATCCAGTTGTCATGGTCCACGTAAATACCAACGATATAGGTAGAAAGAGGAAAGAGGTTCTGTTGAGGGAATATCAGCAGCTAGGGGCTAAATTCAAAAGCAGAACAAAAAGGTAACAATCTCCAGGTTACCACCTGAGCCATGAACTAATTGGCACAGGATCAATAAGATTAAAGAGGTAAAAGTGTCGCTCAAAAATTGGCATGGGAGAAACAAGTTCAAATTCATGGGACATGGGCACTAGCACTGAGGAAAGAGGGACCTGTTCCAATTGGATGGATTCCACCTGAATCATGCTGGAACCAGAGACCTATTGAATTGCATAACCAGGTCTGTAGATGTGGCTTTAAACTAACTAGTGCTGGGGTGGGTTCAGTTGCATGGAAAATCATAAAATCAAAGCTAAAGAAGAAGTTAGGATTGCTAGTTAGTGATGGGGTTGATTGTTACCAGAAGATAAAAGGAAGGCAGAATGTGTAAATGTCACATTGTACCAAGGAACCATAAAAGTGTTGGAAACTCAATAATAGATCAAACTTAAAGGTTTTGTATCTTAATGCACAAAGCATTCAGAATAAGGTAGATGAACAAATGCACGAATCAAAGTCACAAGGAATTTATTACTAGTTAAAGAGGGGAAGGGCTCAGGAAAAGTTATGAAAGTTTCCAGAACAAGTAATAGTGTAGAGAGTATGGAAAGGGTCAGGAATCTAACTTCAGGCACAGCAGATAAGGGGACAACTATGAGAAGGTGGGTGATCAATGCAGGATTGAGAGTGTTGTATTTAAATGCGTGCAGTATACAAAACAAGCGCAATGATCTTGAAGCGCAGATTGAGTTTGGCAGGTATGATGTTGTTAGGGGATTGGGACTAGGAACAAAATATCCAAGGACATGCACCATATTGAAAGGATAGGCAGATGGACAGGTTTGTCTTGTTAGTAAGAAATGAAATTACATTGATGACAAGAAATGATATAGAGTCAGAAGGTGTAGAATTGAGAAATGGCTAAAGAAAAAGACTTTGGGAAGATTTGTAGCTCGGGTTGTGGATGAGGTTGTAGACTTGCTCGCCAAGCTGGTGTGTTTGGTTGCAGACGTTTCGTCACCCTGCTAGGCAACATTGTCAGAGCGCCTCCGGTGAAGCGTTGGTGTTCTATCCCAGTTGTTATTCATATGCTTCAGTTGGCTGGGGTGGTTAGCATCACTTCTGGTTCTGTTTTTCAATGGTTTGTATATTGGGTCCAGTTCAACGTGTTTGTTGATGGAGTTCTGGTCGGAATGCCAGGCCTCCAGGAATTCCCTTCTGTTAGGCACATAAGCCAAACTGAGGGTCAAGCTAACTGACCTATAGTTTCCTGTCTTCTGCTTCCCTCCATTCTTAAACAAGGAGTTACATTAGTCATTTTCCAGTCCTCTGGGACCCTCACTGACTCCAGTGATTCCTGAAAGATCACGACCGATGCCTCCACAATCTCCTCAGCTCAAATTCCCAACTATCCAACCTTAAGCCTTTAAATAATCACGATATCTCAGCAGCTACCAATTCATTAAGCCACACTTTCTTGACCTTTGATAACCTTGTCTCTTTCCCTAGAACTGTTACATTTCATCATCCTAATATTCCACAGATATGCCCCTCATCAACATCACAACCCTTTCTTTTTCTCATTTATTCCTTGGTGATATCATCCAAAAGCATGGTGTCAACTTCCATATGTTCATTGATAACATTAAGCTCTACCTGGTAGCCCCTCCTCTGCTTCTAAATCATCCGACTGCTGTTCGGACATCCAGGATCAGGTAAGCAGTTATTTTGTCCAGTTAAATATTGGCATGGTGGTGGTGAGTGTCTTTGTTTTCCAACACAAGCTGCTTTTTCTAGCTACCAACTCCAGCTCTTTCCCTTTTTTCAGGTGGAACTAGACTGTTCACAAACTGAATGTTTTACATCACTCTGAAAATAGCTTCTTACTATGCACCTATACCGTCATTACAACTGCCTGTTTCCACTTGAATAACTTTGCCTGATGACTATCCCAATGCACTTTTTACCAGCTGTCCATGTTCTATCTTCCATAAACCTGAGATCATTCAAAGTTTTGGCATACATGGCAGAGTTAAGTCCCACTCACCAAATAACACATCAATATTAAATTTCTTGTCTTTTTCAACCATTCCATAAAGTGTATCCCATCTCAAGTTCTCTAACTACCTCCCTACATAGCACAGATCCTGGCCTTTTTGAAATTCCAGATTGTCATCACTCCGGTCTCCACCCTTGGAGAGTCTGCCTTCCAAATCTATGATCTCTATCAACAGAAAGGTCAAGCAGCAGATATATAAGAATACCACTAATTGTAAATTTCCCTTGAAGCCACACACCATCCAGACTTGGAAGAATACTATTGCTCCTTCAAAATCCTGGAGCTTCCTCCTTAACAGCACTGTGAGTATACCTGTCCCAAGGATGCAAGAGTTTGAGAAAGCAGCTTCTCCAGCACAGTTAGGGGTGGGGAACCTATGCTGGTTTAGCCAGGAACATGCAGTGTCCCATGAAAAATTTAAAAAGGTTGTCGATAGGTTTCAAACTCTGGAATTCCCTCCATAAACCTTTGCCTCTCTACTATTTCTTCCCACATTTAATCACTCCTTAAAGTCTACCTCTTCAACACAATTTTTAGGTAATCTGGCCTAATATAATGTTATGTGCCTCATTATGAAATGTTATTCCATAACGTCCCATAAACTGCCTTGGGCCTTTAACGGCGCTATATTAATGCAAATGACTGTAGCAACGATAGATTTGTAGTCCTGTCCCAAAGTTGCTATCTGTAATTTAAATCAGTGATGTTTATCAAGTAATTTCCACACGAGTAGTTGGTGATGTGGGGGTGGGCGTGTTGTCAGCAAGAGGGACGAGATCTAGTCAATCTGCCCACTGCCCTAATAATGAGAGGATATACCCTAGGATTTGAAAAGCTACAAAAAAATAAAATGACTGAATCCCACTTCGAATTGTCTAAATGAAAAGAAACAATGGCATGGAACTTTGTGGCTACCTGCTTGGCAGGCACTTTATCCTACTTTTTCTGAGCAATTCTTTCTTTGTGGTAGGTGGGCAGCATCACGCCTACCCCATGTTAATAGACAGTGTGAATTCAGCAAATTTCTATTCCTTTCAGAGGAGAAAAAAAGAATGTTGTTTTCTGTGGTGCTCCAAGGATGGGGAAGCCGATAATATTTTAACATTGGAATTCTCGGGCTTGTGTTGCATTTCCTTGAATTCTCCGGGAGTCCGTTCCTCACTGGTCAAGATCGAAGGTTTCTCTTAAGTACACTTGGTAAAACGCAACGGTAAAATAGGACCTGAATGCTGCCTTGAAATGTGCAAGATGATATGTGGTGTCTCTTTAAAGCAGAGTTGGAGTAAGTGGGCGGGTGGGGGTTGGATTTGCGTCTCTCTGTGTTCTCAGCTGCTCCAATGTCACAGAAGCTGTTGCTTTTCCTCTCGGCGTTGCCAGCCCGTCAGCTGATGAGCCGCTTCACCCCACACACGTAGTGGCGTATGCAGAAACATATCCCCCCCACCCACCTTTAACGGACCACTGCCCATTTCCTCCCCTCTCAGTTGGCCCCGGTAGCGTCCTTCTTCCTAATCTGCAGAAGCAAACCGGACTCTGGTTGCACCCTGTCCGGGGGCTCGGCCAGGACCGGGGCATAGTCCTTTGTTTACATGCAATCCCGGTCCCGGCGGAAGGAGGCGGCGGTGCTGCGAAGGCACCAGCTGTTTCCCGCCATTTACAACCATCTGATAGAGCGATCAGCTGGAAACACACACAGAGAACCAGAACTCAGCCAGCCTTTTATTTAAGGCGATTATTATTATTTGTGCATAATTATTTTCTCCAGGTGCAAGACATGGAATATTTCGTGGTGCCGACTCAAAAGGTACCTTCATTCCAGGATTTCAGGAAGAGTGAGAAAGAAGTGATAGGAGGTCTCTGTAGGTGTGTACTTTTCTCTCCCCATTTATACATTTTATATATATCTCATTTTTCTTTTGCTACTAACAAGCGAGGCTCCATCTGCTGTCTGCATGGAGGAGCTTGCACAGCCCCAGGAGGGAGGTGGGCATGCGGTGTTGTTGCTGCTGTTTGCTGAGTGACGGGGCTGCAGCGGCCAGGACGGGTTCCACGTGGATTCGGGGTTTGGAACGCGGCGGCTCCAGGCAACATTCCAAAGCGGAATGGATACATTCGGAGGTTCTAAACACACCCACGTGGGAAGAGCTGCAGCCACGTTCCCTGAGCTGGCTAAAGGAGGGACAGGGGAAAACCAAATTTCCGATCATTCCTTCCCACTCCCCTTCCCTCAATGGTTGTCCAAATAAAACTCCTCACCCAGGGGCCCACGTGCGTCCAAAGTGGTCACTTTCCGGGTGGAGTTTGCGGGTGGGTGGTCGAATTAAAATACCTCCGTAGAGGGTGTTGGAAAGATATCCCCTTCTACTCGACTGTTCAGGTGCAACATGAAGCATTGATCGGCTCTTCCGTCCCCGGGGTTGGGGCCGAGCAGCGCTTTGGGCCTGCCTGTTCCTCTGCAGCCCAGCTCGAGGTAGCGGGCGTGCGGCAACCTGGGAGCTGTAGTCCATTTTGGCCGCTCGGAATTGTGGGAATTGTAGTTTTCTTTTGCCTGCTGAAAGATTCCACTCTTAATTATATTTAACCCAATCTATCCCCTCTGCTCATCAATATTCTAAAGGATTGCAATTGTACGAAGTTTGATGTTTAAATTATTTTGAATATACTAAGATTGAAAACGAAATACTGTGGATGCTGGAAACACTTAGCAGATCTGACAGCATTTTGGAGACCAAAAGTGTCAGGTCGACGATTTTCGTTAGAATTCAGTCATCAACCTGAAACATTAACTCTTGTTTCTGTTGCCTCGGGTTCTGCCAAACCTGCTGAATGTGGAGCAGGGAGCCCTGTTGGGCTGAATGGTCAGTTTCTGTGATGTAATTTCTACAAGTGTCTGGAATTCCAAACTTTTTTGTTTGTTGTTGAAAAAATTGTATGGGAGTGTCAGTATGCCTATTGGATTACTAATGTCATCTCATCTGAGGACCGATAGTTACACCTTGTCATTGCAACCATTGACACCTGATTGTACAGAATCGGCAACAGAAAAACAGGCTAATTGGCTCATCTGGTCAATGTCAGATTTTATATTTACACACAGTCCTTCTCCCTCATATATGCATTAATCCTGTTTTTAAATCTACCAGAGTCACCAAGTTCACAGCATAATACAACCTATGCTACATTTACCCTGGGAGTATTTGGTTTGTGAAGGTGGAGATTTAGCTTTAGTCAGTATTTAACCTGTCTCGGGAGTGATTGATGGGACAGTATACAAGGAACATTACTTTGTACCTAAATCATGTTGTATCTACGCTGGGAATGTTTAATGAGACAACTGTTGATTTATTATTGTCACATGTACCAAGATACAGTGAAAAATATTCTTTTGCATGCTATCCAGACAAATTGTACCTTACATAAGTACATCAGGGTAATAGAACAGAATTCAGAATGTACTGTTACAGCTGCACAGAAGGTGCAGAGAAAAATCAATTCTAATATATGAGAGATCCATTCATAAGTCTGATAACAGCAAGGAAGAAGCTGTACTTGAATCTGTTGGTACATGTCTTCAAACTTTTGTATCTTCTGCCTGAGGAAAGAGGATGAGAGAGAGTATAACAGGAGTGGGAGGGGTTTTTGATTATGTTGGCTGCTTTCCCGAGGCAAGGAGCGGATGGTTTTCGTGATGGATTGGGCTGCGTTCACAACACTCTGTAATCTCTTGCAGTCTTGGACAGAGCAGTTGTATACCAAGCTGTGACACATCCAGATAGAATACGATTTATTGTGCATTAATTAAAAATTGGTAAAGGTCATTGTGGACGTGCCGAATTTCCTTAGCCTTCTGAGGAAGTAGAAGCGTTGGTGTGCTTTATTGACCATAGTGTCCACATGGATGGATCAGGATAGATTGTTGGTGATATTGACTCCTAGGAACTTGAAGCTTTCAACCATCCCCACCTCGGCACCATTGATACAGACAGGGATGTGTCCTCCACTCCACTTTCTGAAGTCAATGACAGGCTCCTTTATTTGCTGACATTGAGGGAAAGATTGTTATTGTTACACCATGCCACTAAGCTGTCCATCTCTTTTTTCTAATTTGCCTTGTCGCTGTTTGTGATCTGACCCACTACAGTGGTGTCATCAGCAAATTTATAAATGGAGTTAGAGCTGAATTTGGCCATACAGTCTTGAGTGTATAAAGGGCTGAGTACACAGCTTTGTGAAGCTCCAGTGTTGAGGATTATCGTGGAAGAGTTGTTATCACCTATCGTTAGTGATTGCGGTCTGCGGGCCAGGAAGTCGAGGATCCAGTTGCAGAGAGGGGCAGCAGAGACCTAGGTCTCGGAGTTTAGAGACGAGTTTGGTTGAAATTATGGTGTTGAAGGCAGAGCTGAAGTCAAATACGAGCCTGACGTAGGTGTCCTTGTTATCCACATGTTCCAGGGATGAGTGTAGGGCCAAGGAAATGGTGTCTGCCATGGACCTACTGCAATGGTAAGCATATTGCCATGGTTCAATGCAGTCTGGGAGGCTGGAGTTGACGCGTGCCTTTACTAACCTCTCGAAGCTCTTCATAATAATGGATGTCAGAGCCACCGGGTGGTAGCCATTAAAGAACATTGACTGATTTTTTCTTTGGCACTAGGGTGATAGTAGTCTTCTTGAAGCAGGTGCAAATCTCACACAAGAGGAAGGAGAGGTTAAAGATGTCTGCGAATACTCTTGCCAGCTGGTCTGTGTAGGATCTGAGAGAGGGTTTTACTGTGTGAAAGTGTTCACTGGACCTTTAAGCATGAGACTTGTAGACATTACTCGTACATGATTTTTTTCCATAATGTTTTCATTCTGCATGTGACAGTAGCACCGTTGTGGTATTTTGAAGCATCCTCTTAGTGTTTGGTACCCTTGTATTGTTTCCTGGAGTTTAGAACAGTCACAGTACAGAAGGAAGGTATTCTTTTCAATATATCTGTATCTGCTCTCTGTGAGAGTTACTCAGTATCACGCGTCTGCATTTTCTCCATTGGGCATGCTCTTTTTTTTATTTCATCAGATAATTATCCCATTCCTTTTTGAAACACACAGTTTAAGGTGCCTCAGCCTCACTTAGGAAATGCATTCCAGATTCTAACCAGTGGCTTCATAAAAAAAATTCCTCATGCTGTTTGTTTTTTTTCAATTACCTTAAGAAAGTATCCTCTGGTTCTCAATCCTTTCACTGACGGGAACAATTTCTCCTGATCTGCTTTGTTTAGATCATTCATGATTTTGAACATTTCTGTTAAATTTCCTCTCAGACCTCTCCTCCCAGGGAGAACAGCTCCAAGTTCTCCAATCTACCCTTGTAACTCAAGGGGATGTAGTATAGTGGTTTGTGTTAATGAGTGAATGACATTTGCTCTGCCCAAAGGCAGTTTCTTAGCTCGTTGAAGCTAATTTTTAATCTTCAGCAGTTTTCTTGGCAGTTCTGTCAATTTTGGTTTGCCATTACCTTCTGCTCTGTGACAGAGTTAGGAGGCCTATTCCAAATTGACCTCAGCAAGAATGGGAATTAAACCATGCTACCGGTGGTGTTTTGAATCACAGCTAATGGAGCTAACTGGCCCCCAACAGTAATCTTAGCAGATTGGTCATTAAAAATTTACATTGAATTTCAGTATTCTAGTAAAAAAACGAAAGAATTGCAGACGCTGTAAATCAGGAACAGCAACTTCTGTTTTTGTTCAGTATTCTAGTAATGCTCCATCAGAGGAACTGGGGAATTTAAACAAAATTACCAGATTTTTATTTTGTAAAAATCTGAGATTCTCAAATCTCCTTCAGAACAGAGTGCATGGAATTGGGGCTAATATACTAGTAAGGATTGCAAATTGGTTAACAGACAGAAAGCAGAGAGGAAGGATGAATGGATAATTTTCAGTGTAGCAAGCTGTTACTAGTGAGGTATTCCAAGAATTGGTGCAAGGGACAACATTTCACAATCTGCACAAATAATGTGGGTGATACCCGTGAGCCAGACTTACTGTCAATCCCAAATTGTCCTGGAGAAAGTGGTGGCAAACTCCTTCTTAAGCTGCAGCAGTCCTTGGGTGTGGGGACACCAACAATGCTGTTCGTATTGGAGTTCCATGATTTTGATGCAGCAACAATAAAGGAACAGTGATATAGTTCTCTAGGGTGGTGAGTGGCTTGGAGGAGAATTTGCAAATAATGGTGTTCCTGTGCACCAGCTGCCCTTGTCCTTCTAGGTGGGAGAGGATGTGGGTTTGGTGGGTGTTAAAGGAGTCTTTGTGAATTTCTGCAGTGCATCTTTTAGATTGTGCACATAGCTGCTACTGTGTATTGGTGGTGGAGGGAGTGGATGTTGAATGCGGTGGTTGGAGTGCTAGTCAAGCAGACTGCTTTGTCCTGGATGCTGTTGAGCTTCTTGAGTGTTTTAAAAATGTATCTATGCATGTAAGTGAAGAGTATTCCATCACACATGGTAGACAGGCATTGAGGAGACAAGAGATGAGTTACTTACTGCAGAATTTCTAGTCTCTGACCTGTTCTTGGAGGTACTGTATTTGTAGGGCTAGTCCAGTTCAGTTTCTGATCAGTGGCATTTCCTGGGATGTCTATAATGGGGATTCACTGATGGCAAAATCTTGAATATCGTTGTTAGATTCTGTTGTTGGAGTTAGCCATTGCCTGGCACTTGCATGGTGTCAGTGTTAATTGCCTCTTGTAATTCCAAACCAGGATATTGTTCAGGATTTGCTATAACAACCTGATAGAAATTTATAAAATAATGACAAGCATAGATAAGAGTTAATGGTAGCTGTCTTTTCCCTCAGATGGGGGATTTCAAGACTAGGGGGCACATTTTTAAGGTGAGAGGAGAGAAATTTAGAAAAGACACGGGGGCAAACTTTTTGCACAGAGGGTGATTCATGTGTGGAATGAACTTCCTGAGGAAGTGGTGGATGTGGGTACAATTACAACTTTTAAAAGACATTTGAATAATTACATGAATAGGAAAGGTTTGGAGGGATATAGGCCAGGAGCAGGCATATGGGACTAGTTTAGCTTGCGATTATGTTTGGCATGGACTGGTTGGACCAAAGGGTCTGTTTCCGTGCTGTATGACTCTATAAGGACACAACTGCTTTAGTATCTAGGGAGTTATGTATGGTGCTGAACATTGTGCAATCATCAGTGAACATCCCCATTTCTGATGAACGAAGGACATTCATGAAGTGGACTACCCTGAAGAATTCTCACTGTGACATTCTGAGGCTGAGGTGATTGATTTCTAACAACTACAACCATCTTCCTTTGTGCCAGTTTGATCCCAACCAATGGAGAGTTTCCTCCTGATTCCCATTGATGCAGCAACAATGATTTCAGTTTTGCTAGAACTCCTTGATGCCTAATTGACCGAATACTGCTTGATGTCAAGAGCAGTCACTCTCACCTCCTAGAGTTGAGCTCATTTCTCCATGTTTAGACCAAGATTACAATGAGGTCAGAAACCAGTTGTCCCTGGCAGAGGTCAAACTGAGTGTCAGTGAGCAGGTTATTCCTTTGCAAGTGCCATTGAAAGAACTGTCAACAACTCCTTCCATCCATCTCTTTTTTGATGATCAAATGGAAACTAATAGGGTGGTAATTAGCTGTGTTTGATTTGTTCTGCTTTTTGTGAACAGGACATACCTAGGTAATTTTCTACGTTGCCAATGTTATAGCTGTACTTGGATAGGACATGGTTAGTTCTGGAGCACAATTCTTCAGTACTATTGCTAGAATGTTGTTATAACTCATTGCTTTTGTAGATTCCAGTGTCTTCGTCATTTCTTGATATGAGTGAATCAAATTAGTTGAAGACTTGGAACAATTTTAATTTTCCAAATTTACTAATATGACACAAAACTTGGTGGGATTATAGATTTTGAGGAGGAAGCAGGGTCATTTCAAGGGGACAAAAGAGGGCTAAGTGAATTGGCTATAGACACAAAAGATGGAATATAGTGCAAATAATTATGAAGTTATCTACTTTGGTTCTAAAAAAAAACAAGGACAAACATTTCTTAAATGGGAAGCGGTTGGAAAGTACTTGGTGCCAAAGGGATCTGGGTATCTTGTTCAGGAGTAGCTAAAAGTTAGCATGCAAGCACAACAAGCGGTTAGGAAGTAAATGATTTGTTGGCCTTCATTACAAGGGAATTTGAGTACAGAAGTAAAGATGTCTTGCTGCAGTTGTGTAGAGTCTTGGTGAGACTTCACTTGGAGTCTTGTGTACAGTTTTGGACTCCTTATGTAAGAAAGGATACACTTGTACTGGAGAGAGTGCAGCAGAGGTACACCAGATCAATCCCTGGGATGGAGGGGTTATTTTATAAGAAGAGATTGAGTTATTCTGTAGAGTTTGAAATAATGAGATCTCATTGAAACTTGTACAACCATCCTGTAAGAATTCTATATCAAAGATTTCCTAAGTATAGTGAATCTATGACCAGGAGACAAACTCTCAGAATAAGGGGTAACCCATTTATGACTCCGTTTAAGCTGAATTACTTAACGAGTAGTGACTTTTTGGAATTCCCTCTCCTAAAGCTGTGGAAGATCAATCATTGAGCACAGTCAGGGCAGTTTCTGGAGACTAATGACATCAGTGATATGGGGTTAGTGCAGGAAAGTGGCATTGAGGTAGATGTTCAGCTGTGATGTAGCTGATTGACAGCGTTGATGGTCTACCTCCACTCCTTTGTTCAGGGGAAGAAATTGGCCACCCTTATATGGTCTGGCTGACTTGTGATTCCAGACCCACAGCAATGTGGCTGCCTCCTAACTGCTCTCCAAAATGGTCAAGCATGCCAGTCAGTTGCACCAAATTGCTGCAGAAATGTCAAAACTATGAACGTACCGACATCTCATGGTACGCAGAAGCTCAAGAAGGTGACTCACTTCCGCGTGGTCAAAGACCATTTATAATGGGCTGCCCTTGCCAGCCCAGATCAAATCCAAGGAATGAATGAGAATGTCTTTGATCCCTGTCCAGTTCTAGTAAATGTTCTCTGTATCTTTGCCAATCCATCCCAAAGTGGTGCCCACAACTAGATGCAAACCTCCAGGTGAGACTCAGCCAATTTTAAGGTGATTGGAGGAAGGTATAGGGGAGATGTCAGAGCAGAGTGTTGGGCGTGTGGAATGTGCTGCCGGCAGTGGTAGTGGAGTCAGATACTTTAGAGACTTTTAAGCGACTCTTGGATAGGCACATGGAGGATAGTAAAATGTAGGGTATGCAGGGTAGATTGATCTTAGTAGGATAATAGGTCGGCACAACATCGTGGGCCAAAGGGCCTGTACTGTGCTGTCCTGTTCTATGTTCTATGTTCAATGTTTTCTAAACACTTCTCATAACTTCCTTACTTTTGTTCTCTGCCTCTATGGCTGTATTTATAAAGCTCACAGTGTCTTGGTAACTGCTTTCTTAACTTTTTCGGACGTCTTTAAAAAATTTATGCATGTAGACCTTCTCTGGTTCCTCAGTGAGAAAGGGGGAATGCCACACATTTGAGCCTTGGTCATTAATACTGACCAAGAAAAGCAGTGGGTCCTCGTACTGAACCCTAGGGAATTCCACTTTCTCCACCCTGTACCATAATCATTCATCTCTGCTCTTTGTTACATTTCACTCAGCCAGATTTGTATCTATGTATGGCAGAGGCTAAGGAACAGATTAGAGTGAGAGATGTTTAATTGTTGTTGAGTGAGAAAATTGTGTGGTTGAAGAGCACATGTCAATTTATGGCTGAAATTTTGAATATTGCAGAATTAAGCTTTTTGGTTTAGTAACATTCCTTTTTTATTTTAAAAGGAAATATCAATTTAAGATGATGGAGATATTGCATCTGCATGTATTTCCTGTTGACAGTTGCCATTGTAAATTCATGTTTTACATTTCTTGGGCAAAAGTGTACAATGTGTCTCACTCTAAGTTGTAACACCCTTGTGTGCTCCACCATCCCTAGCAGGAAATAATAATTCCAACCTAATCACTTAATAGAGACAGTTTTCATTATCAATTTTAATATATTTTTTAAAAAATCCCAAAATGATGGCCATGGTACCTTTTGTTTTCTGACTCTGCTTCCTCAACTCCCTGCTTCCTGTAAAGGCTCCATTCCATTCTCATAGTTTGTCTCCAATGCATCTGTTCTGATGCTGCTGCTTTCCACAATGGCACTTCCAACATGTCTTCCTTCTCCCTCAGCTGAGGATTGAAAGGGCCCTGACCAATGTTTAATCCATTCCCTGCACTTCTGCCCTGAACCCCCACCACTACACAGGACATAAGGGTTCCCCTTTGTCCTCACTATCCACCTTTTGTATTCGAATGATCACCCTCCACTAATTCCATCACCAACAAACTGATCTCCTCTTTCCCTCTCTGTCAGCATGTCAGGGGGACCATTCCCTCCTTAACAACTTGGTCTACTCCTCCAATCGGTCCAAACACGTCAATCCCTTCCCACGCAATTTCACAAGGTGAATCACTTGCTCTTTTACCTCCTCTGTTCTCCAGGCCCCAAGTACTCATTCCGTGTGGAGCAGCATTTTTACTTATACTTCTTTCAATCTAATATTAAACAAAGAAGCATAAATACTGGGGATCTGAAACAAACAAAACCAGAAATTATTGAAGAAACTCAGCAGGTCTGGCAGCAGAGAGAAAACAATTAACTTTGAGTCTTGTGACCCTTCCAGCAATTTCAGTGTTTGTTAATCGTCACTTAAGTGAGCAACTGCGAGAGGAATTAATGTAAAGTGAGTGGGAGAATAATGTTATAAATGTCTTGGTATTTTTTTTCCAGCCTGGCTAATATCCCACTGACCCAGGAGTCACAGAGAGACCAGGAACGGAGGATACGAAGAGAGATCGCCAACAGCAACGAACGCCGCAGAATGCAAAGCATCAACGCTGGGTTCCAGTCCCTGAAGACACTGATACCGCACACGGATGGGGAGAAACTCAGCAAGGTCAGGCACAGACTGGTCCTCACCTCCTGTTTGTAGGAGGGGTCAGTTTGGAGAGGGTTGAGATACATAGATAAGCCACTCTGAATCAGACAATGGGTAACGTCGCTTGGAATTGGAGAGGGCGAGGGTAGGGGCTTAATTTAAATATATTCTCCCATGTATCGGTCAATGGATAATACAGCATGGGTTTCAATGGTGAAAAAGCCAATCAGTCCAACTGAATGATGGAAAAAAGGCTTTCATTGCTAAAAATTGACGGGGTCCTGTCAACTATTTAAAATAATGTATCATTGGAGAAAATCCAATGAGGCAGTTTACTCCCAATGGTTGGTGATATTTCAGTTCTGTCATGAAGTTGGAAGCTGCTTGGAGGCATCCAGTTCATGCCCATGTGATTTCTCTTCCCCACAGGCAGCCATTTTGCAGCAAACAGCAGAATATATCTTTTCACTTGAGCAAGAGAAAACGCGGCTACTTCAACAGAACTCTCAGCTGAAGCGTTTCATTCAGGTAGGCACTCTGTCTGGAAATGATGGGGGAGGGAATGACATGGTGCTGGCTATTGGCCGTGTTTTCCTGGCATACCAGCGATGCCGCTAGACACAGCCCGTGCTGAATCAATGTGTTTGTGTGTCTTGGTTGATTGTGCCACCGCCAAATTTGATTAGGTTCTTGTGGTTCATGCTGGTGGTGAACTGCATCGTGCACCTACCAAAGGCTCTTCATGGTGGGCACATGTCGCCTTGCAGACAACATGTGCTGGGCAAAGGAGCAACAACCTTGACAATAGGATGAAGGGCAACTCATTGAAATTTGCAAGTCACAAATCTGGCCTTACTACATAGGACTGTTTAACTGGCTGCTGCATCAAAGACTCCAGAGAGTCAGTGAAAAATGTGACTTTAGCAAACGCAAAGAGGACAGTTGACCGTAGCTATAATGAATACTCATTGTGTATCTCTGTTTGGATGGTGAGTGCTCCTTGAAGTCAGTGCTTTACACACAAATAGGAGGAGGTCATTCAACTCTCAAGTGTGTTCCACTATTGCTCCATATTCCTTGGTTGTCATGAAGCATTTCTTGATATTGGACTTGACTGAAGGTTTTTTATTCATTGTATGAAGGCATCACTGCTAGGCCAGCATTTATTGTTGAGAGGGCATTTAAGAATCAACCACGTTGCTATGGATCTGAAGTCACATGTGGGCCAGACCAGGTAAGGTTGGCAGATTTCCTTCCCTAAGGGACATTAGTGAACCTGATGGGCTTTCTTTGTAATGATTAATCACCAATGGTTTTCATTAGACAGCTTTTTAATTACAACATTTTTTATTGCGTTCTATTTCACCATTTATCATAGTGGGATTCTGACCCATGTCTCCAGAACATCAGCCTGGGTTCCTGGATTACTAATCCAATGACATTACCTTCCTGATGACCCCCGCCTCCCTGCTCCTAGATTTTTGACAGATACATGTGATTGATGGTTACAAGGTGTTTAACAGTAATTGTGTGTAAATACTGTGTCTGAAGAGACAATAGTCAATTTAAATACAGCAATCTTCCACTAATAGCAATGAGGTACATGACAAGATCTCTGCTTGGAAGATAAATATTGGCTAAGACAAATGGGAGAACACCTGCCCTGGAGTGTCAGCCTGGATTTATGCTTAAGATTTGAGTCTGTGAACCCACAACTGTTTTGACTTTGAAGGTGATTTGGTTCGCTGGTAATACCCTCACCTCTGAGTCGGAGTTTCATCTGGATTAGCTGGCTCTAAGTTTAACAGGGCTTTGTCTTCCAGGAGTATAGTGGTTCCTCCCCCAAGCGGAGACGAGCAGAGGATAAAGATGAAGGGATTGGCTCCCCAGATGTTTGGGAGGATGAGAAGCTGGAGGACCTGAAAAGGGAAATGATTGAACTTCGGCAGCAGTTGGACAAGGAGCGTTCAGTCAGGATGATGTTGGAGGAACAGGTTGGTAGAACTTGCTTTGAAGCTTTTGCACAGATGCAAGCAGCGCTAGGTGCAGTTGTAAGGCACACAGGCCAGCAAGTCTCAGATTTGGTCTTTGTGCTGAGTCCACTGATTACAGTTGCTTTAGCACCCTGACTTAGAGAGAATGCAACATGATCCCCTTGCATGATCACTTGGATATTGGCCAGGGACGTCAAGTTGGTTGCAATGCCTCATACTATCCTTTTATTCCATTCGTTCATGAAGTTGGGCATTGATGGCGAGGCCAGTATTTATTACCCTTAAGAAGGTGATGGTGAACTGTCTTCTTGAATACAACTGATTGACATACTGGGCCATTTTGAAGGGTGGTTAAGAATCAACAGCATTGCTGTGGGTCTGGAGATGCTTGTACACCAGATAAGGATGGTAAATTTCCTCCACGAAAGAGCATGAGTGAACCAGATGGGATTTCACAACAATTGGCTGTTCATGACCACCATCTAATACGAGCTTTTTTTTTTATTATTTAACTTTTATTTTTCTCATCAATCTGTTCAGAAATGTTATTACATACCTCTGGAGCAGGTGGGATTTGAACCTGGGCCTCTGGGCCCAGAGGTAAGGACACTACCACTGCACCACAACAGCCCCACAAGCTTTTTATTCTAGATTTATTTAATTAACTGAATATAAATTCCCCAGTTGTTGTGATTGAATTTTAATTCATGTCACCTGATCAATACTCCAGGCCTCTGGATCACTCCTCCTCTGACCTTAGTCACTGTACTACTGTACTCTTAAATGGCGCACACATGCTGATTGGATGTGGTCCCTGTGAACAAAGCACAATGGTACAGCTGTAACCAGTGGAATGGTATAAGGGAGTAGTGAGGGTACCGTGTATGTGTATCAGAGACCAAGCTCCTCACAGAGCCTGTTGTAATTTGATCTCTGCAAAGCTCTTCCCTGTCCCTCGGAGATTGATGAGGTGCATTTGTTGGCAGGTTCGTTCCCTGGATGCCCACATGTACCCTGAGAAACTAAAGGCCATTGCACAACAAGTACAGCTGCAGCAACAGCATCAGGAACAAACTAAGATCCTTCAACAGGAGGAGCAACAGGAACCCGAATCCCATCTTATGACCCAGGTCAGCACTTGCCTCATTAGTGCTCGAGCTATGCATTCTCAGTAAAATTGATTAATTATTACATAGGGGTCATGCCTCCTTTTAAAATCAGAACAAGAATCTTTATTAATTATCCATAAATGTGAGTCTTTAGCCATTGTCAACTATGGTCCTCTAGAAGGTTAGTGAGCAACACTTAACTGACATAATATATTTAATGATTGTTCTTTGTTTTCTAACTCTCAGCTCCTGCCAGCGCACGTCTTCCCAGCATCAACCCACCATCCAACTGTCATAGTGCAGACTCCACCCCCACCAGCTTCGCATCAAGTTACCGTGGTGACAATGGGACCATCCTCAGTCATTAACAGCCCTTCCACTACATCGAGACAGAACCTAGATACCATTGTGCAGGTATGGCCACATAGACGCAACACACGCAGACATCATCACAGACAAACACATAACCCCAATATACCCACACCCTTATAACACACCCCAACAGCCCAACACAAACAAACACCCACATCCCAACACACATCCTCACCTACATCCCAGCATGCACATATGCACACCCACGTCCAATGCACAAACCCACCCCAAACACACATGCCCAAAATACACCCACCTCAAAATATGTACAGTCACATGGATGCACAACACATACGGACCCTCACCCAACACGCACACACACACCCAACACACAATGCACATGCAAGCCTGTATTTTGGGAAATTCTGGAAAGTGTCTGTATTTAATCCCATTTATCCATCTCTGATTCATATCCCTAGGTATCTTTATCAGCCAAAATTCTGCTGATGTCAGTCTTGAAATTTCCAATGACTTTCAAAATTCACAACATTTTGAAAGAACAAGTGTTCTAGATTTCAAGCCCCTCGTGTGTGAATGCCCTTCTGGATTTTACTCCTGAATACGTGGCTCTAATTTTAAGATTATTTCCTTTGTTCTTTACTCAGCCCAACAGTGTAAAAAGTTTCTTCATAACTACCTTTAACAAATTCCTTTTTAAAACACCTAAACTGAATCACTTCTCAACCTTTTGAAATTTAAGGGATTACAAGGCCAGTTTCTGCAACCCATCCTGATCATTTAACCCATAGTAGATTTACCAGAATTATATAAAAATGCAGTGTACCCCACTTTGAGACCAATATATCCTTTATTATCTAAAATCTTTCCAAAATCTTCACTATTTAGCCCCGGAGATATCTAGACCATGAAGTTCAAGTGTCTCTTTGTCTCATGGCTCAAACAGGCAGTCGTGAGGAATCTCACTCGGAGAAACTTGAAGTTGCCTAGATGCAGCAAAAATGGACACCCACGCTACATTGAGGATGAATGAGTGACCATCAGGAGTATTGGGTACCCATTTTTCTGGAGAGGTTTAGCTGCACTTCTCATTGACACCAAAATTAGTTTGATAATATCAGTAAGGTAATCCAGAAACTGCTGAAGGAGAAACATTACCCTGACATGGTTTATCCCAATGATTCATCATTGCTATCCAAGCATTATACCAACTCAAATATCTGCAGAACTGTCCAATGCAAGCTTAGAATCTTGCAAGACACTTGTCTGAATCTGAAAGTACAGAAAAATTCAGTCATATGCAGCATAAAGATTGGTAGCTTGTCATTCCAAGTTATTCTCTATAAAAAGTATCTGGTATATGAATAGGAAGGGTAAAGAGGGATTTGGGCCAAATGCTGGCAAAGGGGACTAGATCAGTTTAGGATGTCTACAATGTTTCTCTCACCCAGTGGTTCTTCTCCATTGTCACTGGCCTTGCGCCCTAAATCTTCACCCATGTGCAGATCAACTGCATGCTTTCTGAGATCTCTGCATTGGACACCATGGGTTCATGGCCCACCTTTGTGAAATTTGGCAATTGGCACAGTGGTACTTGATCTTCAAACTCTCATTAAGGACTACAGCCAATGTTTTATCATTTACTACTTTCAGTTTAGTGTACTGTATTCATCACTTTTGATGCAGTCAACTATAAACTAAGGGGACAGTAAGGAGTGGGTGACTGCTTGGCAGAACACTTGTGCTCAGTTATGAATGTGACCTCAAGTTTCTGGTGGTCTGCCAAAGATCGCACACTGGCCTCATTGTCCTCAGCCTCCTCATGTTCCAATGAGTCTTGAGTTGAGCTTGAGGAACAGTACTTCATCTTTCAATTAAATAATCTACAACCTTCTGGACTCAACATTGAGTTCAACAATTTCAGATTGTTATAGGTCTATGTTTTGATTCCCTATTCTTTCCTGGTTTTCATTTTTCATTTTTTTTTTTCACATAATAGCGGCTGTTCATCATTCTGCCATTCACAACTCTTCAAGACTTTTTTTTTCCCCTGCTTCTCCCTTTTGTCTTGCATCAAGAACCTTTTGTCATTTAATCTCTCTTGTCTTCCACCCTATCACAGGCGCTTCTTTTTTTTTTCCCCCACACTTCACCCCTTCCCACACTGCCCTTTTACATTAGCTTAAAAACTGTTATATCTTTATATTTTCCAAGTTTTGAAAGGTCATCAAATTAAAATGTTAACAGTTTTGTTTTCCACCTGCACAGCTGAGTATTTCTAGCAATTTTTTGTTTATTACAAGTGGGAGTCCTGTCTAATTGTTGTCTAGAGTCACTGACACCAACTGTGGGCACCTCAGGAGATCTGGTTGACTTACCAAGTCGCAGTTTGAACCTCTGGTCAGTAAGGCTGTGGGTAACTTACCCAATAAATCAAACAGTGGGGCTTTATAAGAATTTCTTTCTGTACCCTGTATCACTCCCTTATCCCCATGTGTTGTCAGCCACTGGATTTCTTTTATTTAAACCACAGGCAATCCAGCACATTGAAGGAACACAAGAGAAACAGGAAGAGGAACAGCGGCGAGTAGTCATTGTCCAGCCAACCCGTGTATGGTCAGGCACTGAATCGGAGAGAGGGGAGAGAGAAGCAACAGAAGCACTGGGGCCGCGCGATGAGCAGGGGCCCATGGAGAGGGTTCTCCCGTGACACTACAGCTGCACCAGGCCGGGATTGATCCAAACATCGTTCCCAATGTTTTTCTCGCAAAAGGAAGAAAAAATTTTGGTCTCTTTTTGACCTTCCCAATACTGTAAACAATCTCAGTCTGGAATGAGAGGCTATCAAAAATCTGGACCATACCAGAAGGGATTGTAAAATCCTTTCTTGCGCTCATGACTACCTTGGAATTCATAGCTGAAGTGTTGCTGAGGGACATTTTAGCATTCTTTTATTTTTTTACGTTTGGGGAGGGGTGGGCGTTTCAAGCACTTACCAATTTGTTCAGTCCAGTGGGGATAACTTCTGCCAAGTGTGAACTGTGGGCCCCACTTCTACAATCACTGCCCCCACCCCCACTTGTACTGATGTAGATTATTTTTAAGCAATGTCCTTTCATGTAGTTAGTTTGTTAGTTCCTTCCATTTCTCCCTGTATTCATAATCCAGTTTTACATTGAGACAAAGTTTGTGTTCATTGGAAAAACTTATATTTTGTTAAGAAAGCAGGGGGGGGCACCTGCCTTGCAGAGAGAAATAAAGTTTGTACTTTGTTTTTTTTTAACTATTTTCTGTGTGCATGTGTTTTTCTATGAGTAGATGTTAAACATGTATACAGAAATACATCAGATTAATATAGATCAGAAGACCATCAACAAATTTGGACTAAATAGGGAAGGCTTGACATTTTTACAATGACGTAAAATAGAAAAGTAGTGAATTGGTTTTACACCTGTCCCAGTTTTTACTTCTGTTAGCACTAGGATTCCTGTTCCTGAATTATTGCTCTGTGACACCATATGTTGTACCTGTGAGAACAGGACTACAGTATGGGTCTCATTCCATCAACAAACTAAAGATCTGCCAGCACTCTTTGGGGGTGATAGTGGCTGTCTGAATACAAGGACAACGATCTCATGAAAACACCAGCCTGTGTTTAAATAGTGCGTCTAACATGGTAATATGTCCCATGATACTCACTATGAATGTGTACAAATAAAATTTGACACTGAGCCACATGTGGAGGTATTAGGAAAGGTGATCAAGGGGTAGATTTTTAAAAGTCAAGTTAAAGGTGGAGACAGGGTTAAAGAGCTCTAAGGAGGGAATCCCAGGACTTTTATTCACAGTAAAAGCAAAACACTATGGATGCTAGGGAAACTCAGGGGGTCTGACAGCAGTTGTGGAGAGAGAAGCAGAATGTATGTTTCTAGTCCATATACTTTTCCAGCCCCTTCAATTACAAAGAAAATGCTGGGGTTTTTTTGTGCTCTTGACAGAGGGGCTGAAGGAGTAACTTTTTTTATTCATTAATGGAATGAGGGTGTCGCTGGCACCTTTTATTGCCCATCCCTAATTGCCCAGAGAGCAGTTCAGAGCTGTGGGTCTGGAGTCACATATAGGCCAGACCAGGTAAGGATGGCATTTTCCTTCCCTAAAGGATGTTAGTGAACGAGATGGGTTTTTCCAACAAACAACAATGGATTCATGTCATCATTAGATTCTTAATTTAGTTTTTTAAAAATAATCAAATTCTACCATGTGCCATAGTGGGATTCGAACCTGGGTCCCCAGAACATTACCTGGGTCTCTGATTTAACAGTCCAGCAATAATACCACTAGGCCATCAGCTCCCCTGTAACTGGAACAGATAGTCAGGGAGCCCCCAACAAAAGATAAGGGGAGTGTTAATAGTAGTAAAGGAGGATGTGGATGTATAACCAATGTTAATGATTGCTGTGATCAGTAGACAATAGGTCAGCTCTGCTTAGGGAATAACTATGCCATCAAGATGCTGGGGGGAAGGGAGGGGGAAATAATCAGAATGGAGTATAGTGTTTGTGCTCTGAAATTGTTGAATTTAATGTTGAGTCCTGAAGGCTGTAACATGCCTAAGTGGAAAATGAGGTGCTGCTCCTCCAACTTGTGTTTAGGTTTAGTTGGACCACTGCAGTAGACCTAGGACAGAAATGTTAGCATGAAAGCAAGAACCTGAAGCATGGTCAGCTGAAGGCACAGCACAAATAACGGATTGATGAAAATTCAGCTTGAATAAGAGCGCACAATTGTAAGAAAGTAGAAATGCTGGAGAGTTGCACAACTAAAGGAGGTAACAAAGTAAGGAATAAGTGAATTGAACAGGAGGATGTAAAATTTAAATTGATCAGTCTCTTGTTAGTGTCCTTATTTCTGAACCAGGACGCTGAGGTTCAAGCCCCATCTACTTCAGAGATGTGTAATATCAACTCTGAACAGGTAGATTAGAAATATCTAAATTTTAGATTTATAGGGCCCTTGTAATGAGGTGGTAGTGCCTGTATCTCTGAGCCAGGAGACCTGGGTTCACATCGCACTTGCTCCAGAAGTAAACACGTTAATTAGAAAATTTCTAGATTTTAAATTTAAGATGATGTTGGGTAAAGACCAGAGGAGTAAAAGGGGAAAGAAAACAAAAAAAAACAGAATAAATGCATGGAATTAAAAATCTAGCTCTGGTCAGCCAACAGAATCAGCACAGACTCTTTCTGAGTGGGCAGGCAGAAGGTCACATGACTCCTTTTCTTTGCTGTGGCAGCATATGATTGGTCAGAGAGCACCAGAGGGGGCTAGATTTTGAAAATGGCAATCCTGTGACATGGGTATGATGAATAATGGCATCCGCTGCTATTTATATGGTGTTAATCCCCTCTGGCACTGCTCTCTGCCATTTTCATCAGCAGCAGCAGGTGTCCCTGTTCAATGGAAAGACAGCCCCTTCCCTGCATGTTAATAATTGCAGAGGAAGATTAAATCCCCTGAGGTTACACCAGAATGTCTGAGCCATGTTAGCGGCAGGAGTACAGTGCTGTCCCCCTGCCCCCCACAACTGCCCCAAACCCCTGACTCATTACAGCACACTCCATCAAAACCAGCAGCTAAGGCAGGCATAACATGTCAAAGGAGAGCAAGTGCTCCCAGGTTACAGATGCTGGCTGTTTATTCTCTGTCTTGCAGTCTCAACAGCCATTGTTGATGGACTGTCTTTCACCACAGATGGTATCACACATATGCAATGCTCACTCCACAATGCCAACTTCCCAATGGTTACTGGGCAACAACTCTGGCTGATTTTCTTGTCCTATGCTGAGTCTATCATGAATTCTATTAATCACTACCTTGGATAAAATTAATTAACTTAGCACAGGCCAGTAATCAAACCAGGGACAATACTCAGTTTTACTTCTCTTCTCTAAGGAACTATCTTTTTCTAGTGACCCGTTGCTGTGATCTGATCGTTTCTTTAACTCAATTCTGGATGCATATATTCCATATATAAGAAACACAGCACCACCCCACCCTCTCCCCTGTTAAATTCCATTCTGTAACTCAGCACCCTGAATAACCTTTATTCAGTATTTAAGCCTGCGGAACTTCTGACAGACACAGAGGGAAACCAGATGTTTGAGAAAGAGAAAGGAAAAAAGATATAGTGTTCCACAGAGTGAGAACAAAAAGGACTAGGTGCTAGAGAAAGACTGAGAATGAAAGATGGAAAGCGAGAAAGAGGATCTGACAATGACCCCAGTCAGAAATGGGTCCTGCTAATCCCAGGATTTATGTTGCAGGTTAAACCCTACTGTACAGTGATAGATAGAAGAAACACTAGACTGGCTAGCAAGATTAGATCACATGGAATACAGGAAGAACTAGCCATTTGGATTGGTGGCCTGTGATCAGTGGTGTGCTGCAAGGATCCTATTGAATGATGGAGTGGGCTGAAAGGATTACTCCTGCTCTTCAATTCCTAAACCCCACCAAGAAAAACAGGAGTCACTAGATGCCTCAGAAAACTATCGTCTCCAAAGTTTGCAGATGACACCAAAATTAGAGATGTAGTGGACAACAAGGAAGGTTACCTCAGAGTACTTTGAGACCTTGATCAGATGGGCAAATGGGCCGAGGAATGGCAGATGGAGTTTAATTTTAGATAAATGTGAGGTGCTGTATTTTGGTAGGCCAAATCAGGGAAGGACTTATACACTTAAAGGTATGGTCCTGGGGCATATGTGGAACAAAGAGACCTTGGGATGCAGATACACAATTCCTTGAATGCAGTGTCGCAGGTAGACAGAATAGTGAAGAAGGCATTTGGTATACTTGCCTTTATTGGTCAGTGCATTGAGTGTAGGAGTTGGGAGGTCATGTTGAGGCTGTACAGGACATCGGTTAGGGCACTTTTGGAATACTGTGTTCAGTTCTGGTGTCGCTGCTATAGGAAAAGATGTTGTGAAACTTGAAAGGGTTCAGAAAAGATTTACAAGGATGTGCCAGGGTTGGAGGATTTGAGCTATAGGGAGAGGCTGAATAGGCTGGGGCTATTTTCCCTGAAGCATCAGAGGATCAGGGGTGACCTTATAGAGGTTTAAAGAATCATGAGGGGCATGGGTAGGGTGAATAGTCAAGGTATTTTCCCCAGGATAGGGGAGACTAAAACTAGTGAGCATTGGAGTTTAAGGTGAGAGGGGAAAGATTTAAAAGAGACGTAAGGGGCAACTTTTTCAAGCAGAGGGTGGTGCGTGTGATTGGAAAAGAGCTGCCAGAGGAAATGGTAGAGATGGGTACAATTACAACATTTAAAAGGCATCTGGATGGGTGTATGAACAGCAAGGGTTTAGAGGGATATGGGCCAAATGTTGGTAAATGGGACTAAATTAATTTAGAATATCTGGTTGGCATGGACGAGTTGGACCGAAGGGGCTGTTTCTGTGCTGAACGACTCTCTGAAAGCAAAATATCACAAGGTCACAACTATTTTATTTTTCAAAACTACAAGCAAAATCAGGTTGAAATTGTGGTATTCCACAAATGTATTGCTCATTCTTAGCAAGTTCCTGGGTTCACTGTTTTAAAGCTACTTAAAACACCATCGAAGATAGATGACATTGCATGCTGAGATGGAAGTATCACTTCTGAGTTTGAGTAACTGAAGCTAAGAATGTAAAGGGTAGCTATAACATCAAACTTTCGCAATTAAATCTTCTAGTGTTGGATTGAGCACAGTTCAAAAAACAGAATAAACACCTGATCTTGGTCAATGGATCTCCTGATAATTGTCATAATGATAATTGTCATGATAGACTCTTGACCTTTGATTCCTCCTTTTAAGGTCACCCTCTGACCTCCAACCTTCTCCCCTATATATTACTGCTCGCTGACAGGTTGTTCCTGACAGTCAAAATGAAGGGACTGGTCTCATTGAGTATCTTCCTCTCTCTGCTCGTCTTCGTGACGCCAGGTAAGTCCCTCTTTTTAACTCATTCGTAGGTTGACAGCATTCCCCAAACTTGCTTCTTTTATTTTTTTGCATTGTGACTCAATCTGTGAACGAGCGACTTTAAAATTTGCTTCAATGAAGAGTCTGGACTGAGGCTACTCAGCACTGTCACAAACAGCAGCTGGAACTTTTAACCAGCAAACAACTGATTCTGTAAAAAGATACATTTAGGGAGACAAATTCTTAAACTAAAAGCTCAGCTGGGGGCACTGCAGGCTGAGTTTGTTGCTTTGGGAATTAAAAAGAGTTTTTGT